CCTCTCCTTCCCCATCCCCCTCCCTCTCTCTCTCCCCCCCTCTCTCTCTCTCTCTTTCTCTCTCTCTCTCTCTCTCTCTTCCTCTCTCTCTCCTAGCCTCCGTGTTATGAAGAGGAGGAATCCCACGAGACAGTTAAAACTTAAAAGTTCCTGGAGAAGAGAATTTTATTTTTTCAGCATGGCCCTGTCAATTCTGCGAGCGTGAAAACATTCCTGTGGCGCGACTCCAGTGAGAGATGAGAAACCGAGAAATGATACGCGCCTGACAAAAACAACAGCGCGCAAAATGGAGAGAAAAGATGGAAGTTTGAAAAATGCCAAGTCGCGGAAGAAGGAAACACAACAAGGGGCGAGCACTCCCCTCGAGCGAAGATGAAGCAAGCAGCATGAGGAGGTAACTCGTCGTGCTATAGACTTCTGTACACTTTGAGCCTGTGAGTGTTTTCTTACAATTATAGTGGGCCAACCTAAGCTACAGAAGATACGAGAGGTTTCTCTCTCTCTCTCTCCGATCTCTCTACAACTCCCTGTTCGTCTGCTTGGCTCGCCCCCGCTACACAAATTTCCTCTCTCTCTCTCTCTTTCGTTCGCTACTTTGTTTGCTTCAATTGACTCCGCGCGGGGCCAAAAGTCTAGAGCTGAACTCGAAACAACCGCCGTTTTCCATTCGTTGGTCTTGTTGTGTTGTTGTTCCTTCTGCTATAAAGAATAGAATGGCGCTGGTTGGAGTGGGAGTGAATGCTCGGCTAGAGTAGAGACATTGTGGATCTCATGAATAGGTGAGTCGATGACAAGATACTGTCGTCTGCAATTCTTTCCTCTCATTCTCTCATTATCTGATCGTATCGTCTGCCAGCCGCTTATTATCACCTGCTTCTTTTTACAGTCTGCCGAGTCACTGCCGACGTCTGAGCCTTCGTTGTTTATTTGTCAGCTGAGCGTATGCTTGATAATAACCCGCTCCCCGCCACAGTTGTTTATGAATAGAAGCGATTTATGCAGCTGCTATTTGTGACAAAAGCAATGCAACAATTGAACGTTGACAGTGTAAACAGTTATGGTGATTTAAACATGTGAACGTTACAAAAAGGGGAGACAAGTAAGCAATTTCAATTTATTCACAGCATAAATGACACAAAACATGTTAACATTGTTGTGCTGAAATTGCCATAAATCTTTCCTACAAAAAACATGCTTCAGAACTGAACCGACGAATACATCGGTATTATCTCCCCTCGTTGCTCTCTTTCGTAAAAACATAAAATAAAAATCTGTCAACGCTTTACCTATGACGGGTATCTCTTTATTGTTGTTGTTTTGTTTTGTTTGTTTGTTTGTTGGGATTTTTTGTTGTTTAGTGTTTTTGTTTTGTTTTGTTGGG